GTGCTTAATTCCAAACAAACATTCCAGTTAAAGTGTTGCATTCACTTTATGCTAAGTATAATTTAAAATTAGCTATTTTGAGTTATTTTTTTGTTCTGTTTATTTTGTACATGGATCTGTTTTGCTATTGCTTTCATGTTAATAAAGTTCTCGTTTGTTTGTCCCACAGGTAAGTCATGGCACCTTGTATTCATGTAAGGGACAGAGCCCACATTATGAGACAGACAATCACTTCGGGTGGCACAAACAAACTACAAAATACAAATAATTATACCAATGAATTAATCTGCTAAGTTTGATGTACACTTATAATATCTCCGAACATGTCTGCTGCGGGTAACCAATATAAAAGTGGAAGCATGCCACCTAGTTTCCATTACAATAGGAATTTCTCGTTTTCCTTGGAAGTGTACAGAATATACATAGATTTCAAAAATTTATAACTAGATATTTCTAAAAACAAATAGGAAAACTAGACTATTGTAATACATAAGTGGGACTGAAGCTTAATAAACATTTTTTCAAGAAAACTAAAATATAAAAATTTTCATAACATTAGTTATAATGTATAGAAAACAACAACTTAAACAGTGATAACTCAAAAGTGGTTTAATGCTTAGTGTGAGCAGTATGTAGGTATAGAAAAACAAAAGGGCACTCCTCTTATCTATAACCATGCAATAGACTAAAAGAAAGCAAAGAGACTAACTTTAGAATGAGCCATTACACTAATGCTGCTAAAACTAGTAAAAACCTCAGTGTTACATCCTCTAATAAATTGAAAAAAAACATAACTTTTTCATAACAAATAGAGTTCTAAAGACAGAAAGCAAAAATATGCGTGTAGTTGATTTGTGTGAAATTGTTGAAACGGGTGCAGTAACATCTGCAAATATTCGTCTTTCTCAAAGAAAGTAAACTCGTAAATTATTACACTCAATAACATGTCAGTGAAGAAGATGCAAGACAATGTATTCAGTATTCAGACACACACAATTTAATATTTCGTCTTTACTGGTAAGTTATCATAAAAAAGACAGCAGATCATCTGAAGGCATTTCAGCTGTGGGCCTTAGTAAAATCGAAACTTAACCATACAACAGGTACAGAAAATTTGCCCCTAATTAAACAAGAGCTAGAGCACTGCAAGCTGCACTTGAAAGACTAATAAGCTTAATAGAATGACATGGAACTCCAAATACTGCTATTTGTTGAAGACATGAAAATGTCTATACACCCCCCCCCCAAAAAAAAATAATCCTTAAACTCTTTGAATATTTGGCCATGATTGATCCTGTAAGTAATGAAAACCTTAGAATAATTACATGCCGAAATTCATAAGCACTATTTACAAAAGAACATTAATATTGAGCTTATCAGATTGCTGTTGAACAAGATCCGTACTTGTTTGTTTATTTGTTATGAATTTCGCGCAAAGCTACACGAGGGCTATCTGCTCTAACCGTCCCTAATTTAGCAGTGTAAGACTAGTGGGAAGGCAGCTAGTCATCACCACCCATTGCCAATTCTTGGGCTACTCTTTTACCAACGAATAGTGGGATTGACCGTCACATTATAACGCCCCCAAGGCTGAAAGGGCGGGCATGTTTGGTGTAACGGGGATTCGAACCCCTCACCCTCAGATTGTGAGCCATGCCGGGCTGATCCGTACTTATACTGTTGACTACTTCTAAAAGTGCCATTTATATCTTGACTGTGTTTATCATTTGTCCATACATGAGTTTCACAGAACAGATAACAATGATCATTTGGTTTGTCACAGCCACTGAAACATCTTCAACTGAAGATTGTGAAGTAAGTATCAATGCAAATTACCTCGAACTTTTGCTTCTGGAAGACACGCGTAGCACCCATATAACCATATTTATTCTGACCATGCTTAAGAAAATGACACTCCCCTACAGTACTTATGAATCCAACTGTATGACAATGGAGGCAACATGAAAAGCAGGAAAAAATAGATATTGTTCTCCATTGCAGAAGACCACACCCTCACAGGGACCAGTGGAACAAAGTTGTGTTATGATGAGATGCCAAGATGCTAAGTGTAAACTTGTGGTTAGTCTGGTTGTATGTTATAACTTACTGTATGGTATTAGTCTTGTCTGTAAACATTTGCAAAGCAATTTTTCATGTCTCAAACTGTTCTGAAAAAAAAAAGTATTTTATTTTATCAGTACATTCTGCATCAACCTCAGCCACTGGATGCAGTTGAAGAGCATCAATTGTATACATTGCTGGCCAAAAAGAATCTTAACTGCCCCTATGTTCCAAAAGGTTATAGATGAGACGTTGGCTGTTCTGTCAGGTGGCGGCATGGCTTTTCACGATGAACTTCATCTGGCACATGCATCTCTTGGTGGCTCAAATCAGTATCTTATGATACCTGACCTAGCTCAAACACCTAAGAGTCCCATATAAACCATTCCAATGAAACTTTGGATGCCCAGACTGATCATTGCAATGTGACCCATCTTTGCTTTCTGTAGAAAATAACCATAAGAGGTTTAGCCTCAACAACCATGATTTTTCAGTAACCTCCCATCATCTTGGTCCCAAGGATGCAACAAGAACACAGATATAGCTCTATTCTTGGTTGGTGAGATCTATTGAACCAGGAAAAGCCTACATTACTGCTTGCTAAAGTCTCAGATCGTATTCTAGCTTCAAGGTAACAGAAAGTACCATAACATGATCATAGTTTATAAACTTTAGAGAACCGCTAAAAGAACAAGGAGTAAACAAAAATGAATATACAAACAAAATATTTATTCACAAGTAAATTAATGTTGAGATTTATTTTGAACTGATCATCTTTTACACTCATTATTTTCTGCATTTGGCTATTGGAGCAGGTCAGAAGTACATATATTCAAGATGAAGATGGGATAAGAATCGTGATATATCAGAGTATTCAGTCAGAATGAAAGCTCCTTGTGTAACAAAATATAATCCTAGATTACCTACTTAAACAATTATTTCCAAGGGAGATCAATAACAACTTATTCAAACTTGTACAAGTCTCCGTACCACCTCTTGAAGGGAAAATGACTTTATTCCAGAAGGATTTGATAAAGAATAGAGTCAAGCAAGAGAAGACCTTACTGAACATCTGCTGTGGTATGTGTCCTTTATCTAAGCTTGGGTATTACCTCAAGTTAACGACCTTTCGATGTCCTGTTAACTACATGCACAGCACATGCACAAAACAGTGTTGAAAATATATTTGAATATACAAGATAAAAATGTACTCTTTCTAATTATGTGAAAGTGAAATTAGCAGTTCTTTCAATTACAACATTTTCAATGTATCAACTCTTAACATGCTTTGATATTGATTATCGTAAAACCCTTAAGTTCTTCTTTCTTTCCATGTTTTTCTCCCTGTTCTGAACACCTGGTGAGCACTATAACTTGAAACTTGAGATACTTGTTAGTATACGTCTAGTTCTTACTAATCCTAATACACTTCAAGCAACTACAAATTCTACCATTTATTCAACAATATAATAAACCGGACTAAACTATTTCGTGAAACTCAAATCAACAAGGATCCTTTATCGCCATCTGAGTTATTACTCAATCCTGAAATAAGGTAAACAGAAAACAGGTTGGGATAAACTGGCAGATTAAGTAATTACTTTGTTAACGTAAGAATTAATTATATTATAACGGTATGGAAAAATTCCATTCGCGAATTGCTGATAGATTATATCATTTGAAATACATATAGAAAAACACGAATCTTGCAGTTAAGCACACAGACTGATGAGGAATGATGACGTCACTTTCGTTTTAAATGTTTATAACGAAAACCTTCCGTAACAATTTTCATACGCTTGCAAGATCAAAAATGTAACAGCCATTTGGTAGCCCCGTAAAACTGGTGCATTTAACCGGCTCTGTTGCATAATAATTTAATTTAAAAATATTTACTTAAAATATAATTGCCTTTGAAAATCATACTGTGTGAAATTAATATTTCTTAAGCTCGCTAACAGGTTTTGATGGCTGTCTATAAAATTATCAGATATTAAGTCACAAATATGCCTTCTATAAAAAAATATTTCTTTCTTCACTTTTATCCAAAACAACACTATTAAAGAATTTTTGTTGTTCTTCTTCTTATATTATTATGGATGATACTTTGGTCACTCCACTAGTCACTATAATAAACGGTCAGAGGTGTTTTTCGTGAACCTAATATAAAACATTCAGATCGTCTGTTCACGTGGAGATTATGTGGAAATTTGTTTCTCTCAAATATTAATGTGTAACAAACGAAACAACTTTGATACGATTCAACTCGAATTAATTTATGTTTCATTATTCTTTTTTTTTCTCGGTATTTTGGTTTGTTTATTTATTTTTAAGCACAAAACTACTCAAAGGGTTATTTGTGCTCTGCCAACTGCAAATATCGAATCCCGATATTTAGCGTCATAAGCTCTCAGACTTGCCACTGAACCACCGGGGGGTTGGGGGGGGGTTGTTAATGAGTAACATGTTAAACTTTCACAAAATTGTCAGTAGATGGCAATAGCACTACATTGAATTTTACATATTTGATAGTTTTTAATTCGTTTTTTAATTACCAGTAACATTAGGCTGATAGAAAACTGTGTGATTTGCAACGACAAAATATGTCCTCCAATTTATATTATTTTTCTTAAATGAGATTCGATGTCATTTTATTTCACTTTGAGAAATCGTACAGAAATCTAAGAAAAATGTTTTAGTTGTTGCGACTCAACAGATTTAATATACAAATAAGGTTGCGGATTAGATTTATATCATTAGAAATATACTGGGTGATAATTTAACATCGGAAACAACTACAGGCAAAATCACATAATTTATAACGTATTAAAAAAATCACACTAATTATGTAAACATCAAGCTCTTTGTGCAAGAAATATAGGCCATAAAGTTCCCAGCAATATTTACTTTACAATCTTTAAGGTTACTCAACCGGTAGGTGATAAGTCTGTTATATACAAACATGGCAACGGAAGAGAAACCTCCGCAAGATGCAACTCGTCGACTTCAACCTAAGAAACAAACATTAGATGATGCATACGCCGCTCCGGCAAATTTTTTAGAAATTGATGTTCTCAATCCAATTACACATGGTGTTGCACGGAAACGGTATACTGACTACGAAGTTAGAATGAGGGTAAGTTTTTCAATACCGTGTGTTTTTACCTCTTGCTCAAGTTAACCGTTAATTTAATATTATGCCTTTAGGCCTAATAGTAATATAGTAACAATGCTAGTCCAGTTGTAGGGCGCCCACCCTTCCTGCTGTTTGTTTAGGTGGGTTTTAGCGGTAAGGTTTGTCTAACATTAGTATTTTTGCTGTTTATACAAATTGTAGTATGAGTGTAATAGACCCGGAGATACCGAGATTTAATCTACCGACTCTGACCAAAAGCTTGACTGTATTTTTCTTACGTAAAATTGCCAGCTGATATCAAATCTGTAAGTCTTAAGATGGGTTTTCGAAAAGGCTTCAAATTCGACGTTGAAGTAGGGTACTGTCATATCCCAACTCGTCTGAAAAATATCCATTTCTCTTCTAACACCAAAAATCCAAAGAAAGTTTGTAGATTTATACAAATGGTATTTCTTTTTTCTGAAAGACACAATGAATAGCTACAAAATAAATCAATTTGCAATAAAATCATTTGGGTATTATGGTAGTGGAGGAGGGTTAAGTCTCATTTTTATGTCTTGCTTTAGTTTCAGGATTTTTTTAAATTTTACAAAATCATTCATAATAGTTTTCCAAATTTTTTTTTGCCTGGGGTATTAAATGAATACTCACTGTAAAGCAGAATTTTAGCAGAATTGCACAATCTTAGAACGTTTATTTTCATAAAATGCTCCAAAACAATTTTTCTAATATATACTACCGTATTTTTCGGTGTATATGACACAATTTTTACCCCAAAATTTAATGTCAAAATCTGTTTGTGTCCTACACACCAAAGGTATGAATAATATATATGTACATATACGATATACACAAGCCATGTGTAAATATATTTAAATAGGCATGCATAGTTTAGTTCAATTGAATGTGTTATTTATAACAATAGTATTTTTTTTTCTTTTAAAAACATAACTATTTATAATGCTCCCTAAATAATAATAAAAAAAAAATTACAGTGAAAGCAATGAAGATTTTGTTGGTTTTAAACCAAACTAAATAACAGTAAACAGTATTTTGCAGTATTTTCTTATTTTGATGGTTTGAGCTCTTTTGTGTTTAGAACAATATATACTAATTTTTAAAGTATCAAATTGAATTTTTGTTCAATAAAAATCTTTCAAGTGCAACTGTAGCTTTTTTTTCCCAAAAACTTTGTCATCAAGATAAGTGTGTGTCTTATGTTCCGAAAAATACGATAATAGACTAAACTGTAATAATACTGAAGCAGTGCCACTACAATGTCTTTACACAGTAAACTTGTGTTACAAATTACACAGCTTCACAACTTGTCTTAGCATTGTTTAGGTGTCACAAAAGTTTTCAATTCCAAATTCTGTTTAGTTTTGAAATAAAATATCCCAGTGTTAATACATTCAAATGCAATAGAACATAACCACTTAAAAAGACAATTTAGTACTATTGCTATTTAATTCTCTCATGATATTCTAAAGCACCGAGGGCCAAACAGGGAAAAAAGTTGGTATTAGAAAAGACTCAATTATTCAAGTACTTTTGGAGAGTGAATTTTTCTTTTGCCATTTCTATTGATAAAAAATAATAAGGAAAAATCACAATGATAATATTTTGATTACTAGATAATTGGAAACACTTATTTTGATTATTTTTATAATATTAATCAATTTAATCATAATTTTGATTAATGGATAGTTGGAATAATCAAAAACTAGTTGATTATTTCAGTTACATTAATTAACTTAATCATAATTTTGATTAATTGATTATTTTATGTGATACTATTTGATGTAATCAATAATAATAGGTAATGGATTATATCCAATTTTATCACTTAGCTCTAGTGATGATTCTTCAGGCAGACCAGTATTGATGGTGATCCAGTTTTATTGGTAGACATGTGAAAAATATGCTCTTAGAATTTCTTGATGTTTTAGGGCTCAAGTTAATATTCTCATGATTCCTGATAAATATTTCAATTAATTTCAAGAATAAAATAGATAACTTGGATTAATTTGCTTTTTGCATATGTATAATTTTGTACTAAAATACTATTACTAGGCTAAGCTTAGTTAATTTTTTTATTGCTACTATAGTTGCATCTTTACTTTTAATGTCGAGTAGCGATGAGTAGTAGTTGTTTATCTCCAGTTCTTTATGTTAAATCTATAATCTTCTCTTCCTTACATTATAAAAAAAGGATAGAAAAAAGATGTAACTGCAATTTCTTCACGATAGTCTACAAACTCTTATCAAAAATTGTAATTTTCCCACACAGGTTAGTAAAACTAAATGATCATTAGGCCTACTTTAAGTTTAAACTAGGCCTAAGTCTTTTCTAGAATAAATACTGAACTACAGTAGGAAATCATAGTAATGAGTTAATTGGAATAGTTGATGATACAAAATATATGTACAAGAGCAGATGTATTAACATAAACAGAAGAATAATAAAAGGAAAAAAGGTGGAGAAAGAAGGAAAGATAAGAGAAGAAAAAAAAGGAAAAAGTTAAGTATCTTATAATCTACAAGTTGTTGTGAGAAATTTTCTTGGTACTATTAATAAGAACTAATCTGACACATCATTAGATATGGATTTAATTACATAGTTATAAACTGCTAAGTTATATCCATAAATACAAATGTGCCATGTGTTTAGGTACATTGCAGAGTTATCAAGAATGTAGGTTTCATACATTTTATCAGTGCAGAGTTAGTTTGTATTCAGATATATAGACATAAATACAATGGTGTCTTAAATTTGCCCATACTACTACTGACTTTATTTTTTTAGCTAACTTTCTGTCTGTCACCTTATCAATAACCTTTAACATGCTAATTTTACCAAGTTGAACCCTTTCTATTATTTAGGTAAAAGTAGCTTCAAAAACATTTAACAGATTAGTAAGGCAAGGTTTACCTTTAGTGAATACGTATTGGTTTTCTCTTCTGTGTATCTTATTTCATGAAATTATTTTGTAAAGCTTCTTTAGTCAGGCTTTTTAGAAACTCTACCACTAGAGAGTAAGACTAACTGGATTTTAATTCTCTGAGCATCGCTTGCCAATCCTTTTGATAATAAACATCAATAATGTGCCATGTGTTTAGGTACATTGCAGAGTTATCAAGAATGTAGGTTTCGTACAGTTTATCAGTGCAGAGTTAGTTTGTATTCAATTATATAGACATAAATACAATGGTGTCTTAAATTTGCCCATACTACTACTGACTTTAGTACTACTGTTTTATGTTGTTGTTTGTTTGTGATTGAAGGGTGCTCAATACTTGGCCTTGTTTGAGTTGGATGGGGATATTGTAATGATCAGGTTTGGGGTTATTTGTTTTCATCTTGAGTTATAGTAACTTAATTGATAGAACACTGGCCTTAGAAGTGAAAGTCCTGGGTCAAGGTGCAGTAGATATCTTAAAATTTCCTAATTCATTAAAATAAGTATCTTTGTATGTACTTACTAGCATATAGCCCATCAAAAATAACAGGGCAAGTACTACCACCCCCAACCCATAGTATACTCTAACCTTGACCAACAATGAGGCAGAAAAGTGCAGTCAAGGCAGTCAAATATTGGTAAATTCCTTTGTGAGCCAATCAAAATTAAGATCATTTATGAAATGAATTTGTGGCATATTCATAGAGTAGTTATTGGTAAAAATCAGTTAGATTAACAGCTTCTAATATATAGAATAGCCAGTGCATTTTGATAACACTACATTCCAACATTGGTTTTTCTGTGATGTTGCTTAACAACAAAAGTATAACCTAATATGTTGTCAGTCTATGTACTAAAAATAAAAAATGAAATGTATAGGTAACTAAACTTGGAAAAACATTTGTTGATTTCTTAATTTTTACTTTCATGATAAATTTTATGCACTGGGCTCTAGGCTAGGTGATCCCACACAACATCTTTACTTTAGGCTTATTATATCAACACTCACTACACGTTTAAGATTTAATGGCACCTCCTCCCCTTGCACCTCATCCCTAAAATCCTAATGAGCAGAGAGTGATCAAACTATTCTATCTGGATAAATGTATTTTAGCTTTTATGACTCCTCCTATTTTGAGAAATCCAGCGTGATACACATTGGCTTTTATATAGGTTAGATAATATAGTGTACTTTTAAGTTCAATAATAAACACAATAAAACAACTAGATTTTTAGATGTTCTTTTTTCTTCTTATACTAAAACTTTGAATTATCTGTAAAAAGTTAGTACTTGATAAAACAACATCTTAGTTCAGTCAAATGGATTCTAAGACTGCTTCTTCATCATAATGTTCGTATTTGTTTCTCACTGCCCTCTTTCTTGACACTGTTCCTAACCTTCTTGGTTTATTACTTTCAGTAACTACCTTTATTGGATGAATACTTTGGTAGGGCTACCTTTGGGATTTTTGCATCAGTTGAAGCTCACATAACTTTTCAATCACATGATCTGTTTCATGCTTTAATCAAACATGCAAGAACACTTTGATGATCATTATGACATATGAAATTGATGTAGACTATAGTGATGTCACATACTAAATTAAACTCCTCAAGACTCAAACCCTTCAAATGTTATGCAGGATTTGAATAGGTATGCACATTGTGGACTCTGATGGTAACTTGCTTGTATTCTTTTTGATGCTTTTCTTCATCAATTTTTCCTCATCTTTGGTAAGTGGAGCTGTTTCCTAGTTACTGTTATATGATGGTAATTTCTTGCTTGGGATCAGACAGTGCTGATTGTGGCAGAGGTTGATTGTTGTGATGTTTATATTATCATGATGTGTGTGTGTGTATATATATTGTTATTATTATTGAATATGAAATTTGTTAGAAGTCATTCTAATTGTTGATACTTGTTAATTGGTGACTGTGTTACAGTTTATTGTACTTTTACCCTGCTTAACTGTTACAAGCATTGTGCTTCTCAAAGTAACAAGCTTGAGAAATTGAAAGGTCCATTTATTTGTTTCGTGG